TCCTTCAGTGCTTTGAACGCTTCCTCACACCGGATGTTCCACAGAAAAGCCTTCTTCAAGATCTGAAAGAAAGGTTGACACTTGTCACTTGATTTAGATACAAAACGACTCAAGGCGGCTATCCTTCCTGTTAGGCGTTGGATCTCCCTGATGTTGGACAGTGGTCGCATATCCAGAACTGCCTTAACCTTTTCTGGGTTAGCCTCGATTCTTTTGCTGTTGACTATGAATCCCATAAACTTCCCTGCTGATACCCCAAATGCGAACTTTACAAGGTTGAGTTTCATCTTGTACTCCTTGAGGATTTGAAACGATTCTGCTAGGTGCTCGATGTGCAGCTCTACCTTCAGTGATTTTACCAACATGTCGTCGATATAGACCTCTATGGATGTCCCAATTTGTTTCTGGAATATTCTATTCACTAGGCGCTGATAGATGGCTCCAGCATTCTTCAATCCAAAAGGCATGACCTAGTAGTAGTAAGTTCCCTATTCAGTCACAAATGAAGTCTTCTCCCGGTCTGCTGGGTCCATCCTGATCTGATTATAACCTGAGAAAGCATCCATGAAGCTGAGGAGCTCATGCCCAACAATTGCATCCACGATCAAGTCGATTCGAGGTAAGGGAAAGCTGTCCTTGGGGCATGCTCAATTGAGATCAGTGAAATCAATGCAGAGCCGCCATTTCCCATTGGTCTTCTTGACCAGCACCACATTCGCCAACTAGATAGGGTAGTCCACCTCTCTGATGGCTTTGGCGTGGTGGAGTTTACTGACCTCCTCGTTATTTGCCTTCTGGCGTTTTGGAGCAAAACTTCTACGCTTATGTTTAATAGGTTTGCAAATGGGATTCACGCTTAGCTTATGTGTGATGACTAAGAGGTCAATGCCTTCTATGTCCTCTTGCTTCCAAGCGAACATCCCCATGTTCTTCCTGAGGAACTGGGTGAATAGGTCTTTCATTTCTTTGCTCAACTTAGATCCCACGTAAACAATATGTTCATGCTCCTCATCGAGCTAGACTGGCTCTAGCTCTTCTGACAGTATGGGCCTGGTGTCCAGCTCGTCCCTCATGTCAAGCTTATCTAGCTGGATAGTTTTAACCTCTTTCTGTTTCACCGAGGCCATATAGCACTCCCTGGCTATTCGTTGGTCTCCTCGGACCATTCTAACTCCATTTTCTATAGAAAATTTTACGACTAGGTGATATGCTGAGGGGATAGCCTTTATTGTGTTAAGGGATGATCTCCCAAGTAGTATATTATACGCAGAAAGAGCATCAACTACTAAGAATTTCACAGTGGTGGTGGCTTGACACCCCCATAATGAGCACGAGTTGGATGGATCCCAAGTGTAGCACCCTCTCCCCTAAGAACCCCATTAAGTGAGCACTCACTAGCTCAAGCTTCTCCCTTCCTATGCCCATTTTGTCAAAGGCAGAGGCAAAAATGATGTCGACCGAGCTCCCATTGTCAATTAAAACTCGATGAACAGTTTGGTTAGCCACAATGGCCCTTACGACCAACAGGTCATCATGGGGATACTGACAACCTTCCAAGTCTGAATCCGACAAAGTGATGTTTGTGCTCAGCCGAGGTATTTTGGACATGGTGTGTACTTTCAGCACTTCGCCAGCTCTGATCCTGCGCAGGTGTGCTTTCTAGGCTGCACTGGATTCTCCACCGCCATCAATTCTCCAGATATCACTCTGATCTCCCCTAAGGGTTGCTAGTGCTGCGCAGGGGCTTGTTGCTGGGGTGCCCATGGTGGTGGAGCCCTGTTCTGGTTGTCATGGGCGACAAATCATCGTAAATGTCCCCTCTGGATCAAGAACTCAATCTCCTTCTTTAGATGAATGTAATCGTCGATATGATGGCCATGATCCCTATGATCCTCGCAATATTTCGTAGGGTCTCTTTTAGACGGATCTGCCTTCATTCGTGGAGGCCACCTTAGGAATTTCTCGTTCTGCACCTCGTATAGGATCTGAGACACTGTCGCAGTGAGAGGGGTATATTGCTGAGGTGCATACCTCGGCTGTAGTTCAGGCTGCGGGGGACCTAAGCGGTCCCTAACGTTCCCCCTTCTTTTTGGGGATCGCTCTTTGTCTCTTTTGGGAGATCTATCTCTCTTTGGAGATCTATTTCTTTCCCTCTCTCTCCTGGGACTTTGGTTCCTCTTTTTCTCTTCTTTTCCCTTGTCTCTATGTGCAGAAGAGCTCCCTACCTTAGAAAGAAGAGCTTCTTTGCCGTTTATGTATTTCTCCGCTTTGGCAAGCACTTCAGCCGTGCTTGCTTTGGGGATTTTTTGATATAGAGAACATCAAATCTTTAGACTGCACCCCTAGACCAGCTATGAAGGCAGTGATGGCGAACTTTTCATCTGGGACATCCACCTTTAACGACTCCGAATTAAATCTTTAGACATATGACCTGAGGTTTTCTTGTGGTCCATGTTTCACATTCAAAAGGTGATAGCTTGGCTTTCTATAGGTTCGAGCCCCTATGAAGTGGGATACGAAAGAAATGGAAAGCTCTTTGAAGGAAGAGATTGAGGCCGGGGGGAGCCTGTTAAACCACGCTAAAGCTGAACCCTTCAAAGTGATGGCAAAGGTTCAACAACGTATGGGGTCCTGGTACCCGTGCAATTCCATCTGGTTCTTATAAGTATTGAGGTGGTCTATGGGGTCCCTGGTTCCATCAAAGGACTCTATCTGTGGCATCCTAAACTTTGGTAGGAGGGAAAAATGCAACACCCCAGGCGTGAATAGAGATTCAGTTTGCTGCACCAAGGCATCCATTATAATTGGAGCTTTACTTCTGATCGCTTCCTTCATGTGGCTGAGCTTCAGTTGGATGCCCTTGAAGCGTTGCTCCCAATATTGTTCCCTTCTCTCCTGCTGATAAGGAAAGACATCATTTTTTTCACCTTTATGGTTTTGATTTTGTACTTCCTCATTGTGGTCGTTCCTAGGGGGTAGTTGGGGAACTTGTCCCAAGGTCTGGCTGTTCTCCCCTCTTTCGTTGTCTTCTCTGAGTAGATCAAGGTGTTGTTAATCCCTGTAATGGCGACTGTTCTGGCCTTCTTGGGCCGGATGTGCCTCCTGTGGGCACTGTAAGAGCTTCAAGAGCTCCTCATTTTGCTTTATCAAGCGCTGATTGACGAGGCGAAGGGCCTCCATCTCGTTATTTGTGGGGGAATTCCCCATGGGAGGATCAGTTTCTGGGACGTTCTCAGGCTGTCTGCCATTGGTGGCTCCCTGTTGGTTCTGCATCCGAGATGGGTTTGTTTGGCTTCTGCTCGTGTTTCGTGTTGACACCATCAGTCACTGAAAGATTAGCTTATTTGTAACAGGAACAGTTGTTCCCACAGACGGCGCCAAACTGATGGTGCAGACTAATGTGGGTGAACAGAGTGCGTGGGACCAACGGTGAAGTTAGGCTGCCAACTTCGTAATGGCAGTAATGAAGTGTTTCTTAGGGGATAGGGGAATTTGCACAGTAAGAATATAGTGGTTCACCGGCTCTGGAGTTCGGCTAATCCACTCTTAAATGGAGGCTCTTGCTCTTTTTCTTCTCTATTGATTATTTGAATGTAATACAAGACAGTGCATAACCCAATTAGGGTTCTTTTTTTTGCTCTCCCTCTCGATGAGGCGTTACATAGTATTTATAAAGCTGCCCCCTATTCTGTGGGATTTCAGCTGAGATCTTTGTCCATTATTCATGGGATCCTCTTTGATTTTAGGAGAGAATCTTGATTGGTTGAGAGTTTCATGCATGGGGCCCAATTTTCGCATACATCCAGCTGTTTCCTAGTCGGTTCTGCTACGATCTCCCCAAGAGGAGCTCCACACCTGGTTTTCTGAGTTTCTCGTGTCTTTCTTGACCTCCTGACCTAAGCTCACAGCTAAAACTTGTTTGAGGTATCATCACATACAAACCATGTAAGAGTTTTCTAATGACAAAATAAGAGAGAAAGAGGGGGGGAGGGCTGGTGATTCAAGGATGGTCGGTTAAGAAGCATGGACCCTTCTAAAAAGGTCACGTGTCCATGTCGAACATGTGTTGGACACTGATACTTCTTAGACACGTGCCCAAGTTCTCTTTGGTCATGTCCATATTCGAAAACTAAAAATTATGTCCGATACTTTATTGACTCTTGTCGCATCGTAATAAAATAAAACTTGGAAGTTACAATGTAACTTTCTCAGACAATCAAGAAAATTTTAATTGACAGGAGTTAAAAGATTACATTAAGTTTAGACTACATTAAAAAGATAATATAATCTGCACAAAGGTTTAGCTAATGGAGGAATGGGAGGATGATAAGAATCATCACAATTATTTATTCTTGCTATGCTTCGTTTATTGATATGGGAGATTGTCAAGTATTATAATTACATGTTAAAGATTTCACATTACACAATTGACACACGATTCACTTCTTATATTACCATAGTACACAACTGGGTAAATTAATAAACATTACTATGAAAAAAAATATATTTATTTGTTTCTATCTCTTCTCCATATCTGCCTTCTAAGTTTTATTTTTCGGAATTTTCTACTACAATATGTTCGTGTCATGTTGATTTCATGATTCTTAAGTGATGGGGTGATAATTGAGTGATGCACAATAGAGATTGCAATTGATTTATGTTGGTGTATCGATTTTGCTTTATACCTTGAATGTAAATATAGTATACATGTAGCCAAAGAAAGAATAGCCAAAGAAAGAACAAAGCAATTATAATATATGTTTGCCAACTCATGACTTCACAACATTTTTAATCATACCAAATATAGAAAAATGTCCATTATCTAGATCTGTTAATGCCGTCCACTCGATGGTTCCAGCAACAAATGTACATTTCGTTTACAAAATATAAGGGAACTACAAGTACTTCAGCAAAAATCCAAAGATATGACATTGTAATTTAACAAACTATTTAAGTTCATTTCTTTAATAGTAATCAAAATCCTAAATATTTCATTTCTCTCATATTCTATGTACAGACACTAAAGCTAGACCTTGGACCACAAACAAGACAAGGCTAGGGATATCCAGATTTACCATGAAGCAAATATTCTTCAGATCTAGCAAAGGAGTACTTTGATCTTCTCTGATATCAGCCATTTTCTCAGATGTTCCCGACTCCCCTGTTACTGAAGACTGACTATTCAAGAAGCAGGTTGTAATCACGTGTTCAATAATTGGCTCTGGATCAGATGGAAAAAACAGTATGAAAGAGGTCACTAGTCCTCCTACAAAATCGAAAAAGGGTTCCAGGTATTATGCCTTACAACCAAGTGTTTTAAAGTCAATAGCCTCACATCACCAGGAAAAAGGTCACCAGGTTCAAAATATATAATATCACCAAGAACAACACCTCTCTGATCAACTTGAACTATAAGTTCAGTCTGAACAACTCTACCTGCACACCTCTGTACTCTAACCGGGCATCTTACTAATTCAGAGAGCTTAATGATTGCTGTTGAACTACTGTACTCCTGAGAAGCACATGGGAAAATCACATAAAAACAGACATGCTTGTAAAATGGAGATGTATGATGCCCGTGTAATTGAGGAAAGTTTGAAGACAAAAACCTGGCAGAATCGAAGGGATACACTTATGAAAAGCAATACAAGCATGATGCATCCATTTGGACTGTCACTAGTTATGTAAGAGATTGCTGACAAGAATATCAGAATGATATTAAAAGGATGAAATAGAGCACTCCATAGAAGATGCCCCCATCTTGGGAAATTATATTCATGAGGAATATTTGGCCCATTTTCTCTCAATCTTCTCTCAGCTTCATTGAAACTCAGCCCTGCATAAAGCAATGGGGCGAATAAGTTTATATCATGCAGATAGGATGAGAGATGTGAATGATTATGGTACTCATTTAAATTTCGCATCGAAGATTCTTATTGGTGAGTAAATGTGAAAGAGCAAAAACCTAATTCATATATGTTGAGCAAAAAAATAAACGACAAAAGATTCAGATATTCTCCCCTGTAGCATTAATGGGTCTAGATAGATATTTCCAGATAATCAATACTAAATACTAACACAGAATATTATTGGATAGGCACATTACTGAAGCTACTAATTCAGTATTAGCTCACTGACTCCCATTCATTGAATTGCGCACATCCATCTGTAATTAATATGGATTCAGAAAAGAAGTGGCCCCCTGTTGCCATAGAAGGACAAGCGGATAGATGCATGCCTAATCGGCTTACGCAAAACAGTCCTGCATCCCTACATTTTATCAAACAACACAGAAGTTTTATCTTGGCCTGACTGATTGATAGATGAATCAAAAACCTTCAATTGAACTCACTCTTTCAATGGTATTTTTGCTTGTTCCTATTTTGCAAAAATTGAAACTTAGCTAAGTGCTTCATAAACATATGTATAAAAAGAAAATATTTCATTGACTTGCCTACTATAGCTAGTTATTTCAGTTTTCTACTGATGGCTTTAATTATCACAGAATGTTGAGTTGATTATTTTGGTATTTAGGAATGCTTTGGGAACCCCCATACAATTAATGGTCCTTTAGTTAATGAGAGAGTCAAAAATCTACAACAGAAAAAACAAAAAAACAAAAAAAACGAAGACATAAATCTATACTACTAATAAAAGTACACCAACAAGAAAAACTTTTAATTTTTAAATTTACCCTTAACTAATGTTATAATGTCAATCATATCTTTCTATATCTTTTTATTTTTCATTTAATTTTAAATTAATTAGTATTTTATCTTTCATTGGAATATTAACTTTTGCTATTGCTTTCATCTTTCATTTAATTGTAAATTAATTAATTTTTAATAATCCGTTTACTTTTTGCTATTCCTTTCTTCTTTCATTTGATTCTAAATTAATTAGTTTTCAATCATCCACTAACTTTTACTCTTCCTCTTAATAACCAGTTTTATCATCTTCTTAAATTCATTGCACCTTTAAATATAAAATGTCTCTAGAGCATATGAATTTGCATCCTCAACCCTCTTTGAAACCCACTCTCTCTCTCTCTCTCTCTCTCACTCACACACACACACACACATAAGGTATATACTCTTTTGTGATAAAAAAAAAAAAGAAAGAGAGAATTAGGATAATGTAGCAAATGACCTTTTTAGTTCTACCAAAGATATTAAGCCTAATCTCTCCATAGAGAATCACCTAAGGACATAACAACAAGCATAATGTAGCAACGACCCTTTTTATTTATTTCCACTATATCTGCCATGTATGATATTTTTAATTATGCAACATGATATTGATTATATAAATATACGTTCTAATAAGATGTTTTAGTTAACTTAATTATATATTTGTTTATAGATTTAATAATAATTTTTACTACCTATATTTGTTCACACGTGGTTGTGATTGCTAGTAACAATAAAAAGAACTAAGGCCAAAGGTTGTGATAAAGGTTCAAATTTACATAAAGAAACTCCTGCTTGTTCCAAAGGATACCAATGTTCAAGTGATTATACCCTGCAATACGCCAATTAATGAAGTTGTACATAAGTATAAAACTCATGAAACACACTCAGAAGGAAAGCGGTTACTCCTCTGTTAGATTTAGATGCAAAACAAAAAGTTAGTATGCAGTTGGAAATATTCTAAAATCAATGCTTCAAAGACATTCTTAAAAATATTTGGTGAGAAATTAAGCAACTCATTAGATTTATAATAATCTTTTAGTGAACACTGAGTTCTAGTGATTTTCACACGCTTATTAATTCAGAACTCTACGGAAGAAACCCACTAATCATTAAGGAAGAAAAACCAACACTAGTTATTTCCACATCACAATTAGTGCAAATGAAGTACGAATCCTTTCATTTTATTAAAGATAAAACTTTTGACGGTCGTCAATAATAAAATTGATCCTATCTGCTGGAAAAAATAGTCCTGCTTTTGTGGGTATTTTGTTTTACAGAATGAGCTCAAACATATGAGGACAAGTGAAAAGCTTGAATTCTTTTTCTTTCTTTTTTTGGGTCATTTTCCCAGGATAAGAGGAAGAGAAATTGCTTTCCTTGAGGAGTTATGAAGTTATTATTCCCCTGAGCTCGTGCAAATCATTATCAGGCATGGTGCAAAAAAAGTAACTAGAGTTTCATTATTGGGCATATGATCGTGACATGCTGCAACATAAACTACGAGTTTACCATTATCCGTGAATCTGGATAAGGTGCCCAGATCATGGTGACTGCCTGCCACATGGGTATGAGAGTTATATGGAGGATACAATGAAGGAGCGGAAATAAAAAAAAAAAATTTGGTCATTGGGTGCAGAAAATTGAACTGAGCTCGTTATATATATATATATCAAAAATAAAGATCCTATCTTTATCAGAGCACCTACAGAGACATTTTATCGAACACCCCTTGGACCTGTATTCATGCTGAATAAATCCAAGTAAGCTCCCAATGCTATAGGATCAGTATGCACTAGCAATAAAGAAATAACAGTTAAATTCAGAATTGGAATGCACTTACCCCTTTCTGTCGAACTTACATACTCGAAAACCAAGTCTTTCTCCGACAAGGCCAAGGCATATAACCTAGAGTACACCTTCTCGTCTTCCTGTGTCCGCCATCCCCCATCGATTTTCTCTACAAGAGTTCTCAGATATTACACAAACCCATCTCTAGCAAAAACATCGATTTATAACTGTTAAAAACAAAGCAGGTGCGAAACTTACTTCCAGACGTGAGCCGCCGGAAAAGACCAAGAATTGATTCCTTGAGTCCATTTTGCCGGGTGCTGGGCTCAGTCAAGAGGCTAACTCGAATGAGGTCCGACTGTGTAGGGTGGTTGTGGTTATGTGCAGTGAAGATATTGAAAATCTTGAGCGTACCCATTGGGACGAAGGTCGACAGAATCGAAATGTATAGGCGTAGAGGAGAGAATATGAAGAAAATAGCCTCTGCTGGACTGCAATGCTGGCCGTTGAGTTTTGAAAAGATGTTACAGAGAGACAACTTCCATTGTCTCTCTAATTCGTAACCAGGGTGTTCACCCTATCATATATCATACGGGAAAGAAATATAGAATTTCGTCCGATACTTTGCGAAATAATTTTTTTTTAATCTATTCTAATCGATCAGCTGTAGTAGCCATATTTAATTTTTTATCCGATTAATCGGTAAAAAAATCGAATAAACACTTTTATAACTATTAATTTTTGAATCATTTTAATAATTTAATTAAATAACATTTACAAATTTAACAACATAATAAATCAACAATACTAAAACCTAAAACAACTACAATAAAAATTATAATAAAACATAAGTATGAATATCAATTCATTATAATTATTACTCAAATACAATAACAATTATTTGAAATTTAAATTATATGAAATACATTGAAATCATAGCTACTTCAATAGATCACTAGTTCTCCACAAATCATGTAACCTACACAAAAAATAAGTCCATGTTTTCGCAACTCAAATATCCATAAAAATAAGAATATTATAATATAAATTATACCACACAAATAGTCTTATAATTATTAAAAAATATATAAAAAAGTTAAATATATTATTTACATGTAAGGTAAGAATGTGAAAATTGATAGGTATTTCGCATTTCTACTCGATTTTTGCAGCTAGCTGTTCAATAGGATAGAGTAAGGTTAGGTAGAATAGAAAATTGCGATCAATTGAAAATTTGAATACCCCCGTTCGTAAGCTTTTTGTTAGGACTGTTAATTAAATTGAGCTACTCGCGTTTGGCTTGAGTTCGGCTCGGGTTTTACTTGTTCATACTCAGTTNAGCCTCTGCTGGACTGCAATGCTGGCCGTTGAGTTTTGAAAAGATGTTACAGAGAGACAACTTCCATTGTCTCTCTAATTCGTAACCAGGGTGTTCACCCTATCATATATCATACGGGAAAGAAATATAGAATTTCGTCCGATTATCCGATACTTTGCGAAATAATTTTTTTTTAATCTATTCTAATCGATCAGCTGTAGTAGCCATATTTAATTTTTTATCCGATTAATCGGTAAAAAAATCGGATAAACACTTTTATAACTATTAATTTTTGAATCATTTTAATAATTTAATTAAATAACATTTACAAATTTAACAACATAATAAATCAACAATACTAAAACCTAAAACAACTACAATAAAAATTATAATAAAACATAAGTATGAATATCAATTCATTATAATTATTACTCAAATACAATAACAATTATTTGAAATTTAAATTATATAAAATACATTGAAATCATAGCTACTTCAATAGATCACTAGTTCTCCACAAATCATGTAACCTACACAAAAAATAAGTCTATGTTTTCGCAACTCAAATATCCATAAAAATAAGAATATTATAATATAAATTATACCACACAAATAGTCTTATAATTATTAAAAAATATATAAAAAAGTTAAATATATTATTTACATGTAAGGTAAGAATGTGAAAATTGATAGGTATTTCGCATTTCTACTCGATTTTTGCAGCTAGCTGTTCAATAGGATAGAGTAAGGTTAGGTAGAATAGAAAATTGCGATCAATTGAAAATTTGAATACCCCCGTTCGTAAGCTTTTTGTTAGGACTGTTAATTAAATTGAGCTACTCGCGTTTGGCTTGAGTTCGGCTCGGGTTTTACTTGTTCATACTCAGTTAGTTTTTTAAACGAGTCAAAATTTGAACAAATTTTTAGACTCGTTTAAAAAACAAGTCCTACAAATTCAGCTCAAACTNTCGTTTTGTAAACGAGTCAAAACTTGAACAAATTTTTAGACTCGTTTAAAAAACAAGTCCTACAAATTCAGCTCAAACTNTTATCCGATACTTTGCGAAATAATTTTTTTTTAATCTATTCTAATCGATCAGCTGTAGTAGCCATATTTAATTTTTTATCCGATTAATCGGTAAAAAAATCGAATAAACACTTTTATAACTATTAATTTTTGAATCATTTTAATAATTTAATTAAATAACATTTACAAATTTAACAACATAATAAATCAACAATACTAAAACCTAAAACAACTACAATAAAAATTATAATAAAACATAAGTATGAATATCAATTCATTATAATTATTACTCAAATACAATAACAATTATTTGAAATTTAAATTATATAAAATACATTGAAATCATAGCTACTTCAATAGATCACTAGTTCTCCACAAATCATGTAACCTACACAAAAAATAAGTCTATGTTTTCGCAACTCAAATATCCATAAAAATAAGAATATTATAATATAAATTATACCACACAAATAGTCTTATAATTATTANTGAAATACATTGAAATCATAGCTACTTCAATAGATCACTAGTTCTCCACAAATCATGTAACCTACACAAAAAATAAGTCCATGTTTTCGCAACTCAAATATCCACAAAAATAAGAATATTATAATATAAATTATACCACACAAATAGTCTTATAATTATTAAAAAATATATAAAAAAGTTAAATATATTATTTACATGTAAGGTAAGAATGTGAAAATTGATAGGTATTTCGCATTTCTACTCGATTTTTGCAGCTAGCTGTTCAATAGGATAGAGTAAGGTTAGGTAGAATAGAAAATTGCGATCAATTGAAAATTTGAATACCCCCGTTCGTAAGCTTTTTGTTAGGACTGTTAATTAAATTGAGCTACTCGCGTTTGGCTTGAGTTCGGCTCGGGTTTTACTTGTTCATACTCAGTTAGTTTTTTAAACGAGTCAAAATTTGAACAAATTTTTAGACTCGTTTAAAAAACAAGTCCTACAAATTCAGCTCAAACTCCACAAGCTCAGCTTGTTTATATGCAAGTACTTGGGCTCGACTCGGATTCGACTCGTTTCCTAAATGAGCCGAACTTGAACAATTTTAAAACTCAATTAAGAAACAAATTTTTCAAACTCGATTCGAACTCGACTTAGACTCGTTCGACTAACGGCCCTACTTTTCGTTCTCAACGACCAAAGCTCCAGACGGTTAGGTGCGGCAGACCGTTTACTAACAATGCAAATTAGCGGTTGCTTAACGGGCCACCATTCTGCTATTGCACCTTAAAAGTGCTGGTTTAAACTTGGTCTTCTCCCACCTTGTAATGCTTGACCAAAGAAATTACATTTAATTTGAAAGAGCAATGTTACTCAAACCCAGTTTGATATCTGATTTGAGAATCTAATTTATTATGGTTATTAGATTAATGGTGAATTTTAATATTTGATGAGACTATCTTTCGATTTAATAATTATGATGAATTAAGTCATAAAATTAAGTTTATATAGAATTTTGTAATTTAAAAATTTTTTTTTGGTCAAAATTTAAAATTTTAATTGAGTACTTGTAATTATCATATAAGAAATAAGGTTCAATATTAGAAGAAATTCACTTCCTATAAAAAAAAAAAAAAAACTATAAGTAATTAGATTCCAATTAGATCTCAAAAAAATATATAATCAACATTTTCTATCAAGGATNAACCACCCCAACCATCGGTGACCACCCTCAACTCTCTCTCCATTCAAAATTTTATTTTGATATCAATTTCAATATGAAAGCAGTGGTGATTGCAATTTAAAATTTTGATTTATGTTGTGCTTTTGATTTTAAATTCAATTTTTTTGGGTTTAATTTGGGTTTTGATTATGATGAATTAACTGGGTGGAAAAGATTGATTTGTAGTAGGTTGGTTGAATGGAGAAAACAGAGGCGAGTTGAAGCATTGGTTTGCGGTGGTCGTGAAGAATGCCAATTTCATGTACAAGTTGAGAAGTAATTAGTTGGAAAGAGATTTACACCTCTCTCATCTCATTATCTTCGTCCCATTTCAACAACCCAAATACACTCCACCTTACTAGAC